GAAACATTTATTACTTCTGAATCGTTTACAGAATGACATTCTTTTTTCACTTCCAAAAGTTCCGTAGATTTTCCTTTTTTTATATCTTTTAAATTCTTATTATCATTATTAATATTAATGTCATTTTCACGAGATTCTAATTCATTCAAACTGAATAAACTATATTTAATATTATTTTTTATTGAGTTACTAAATAATAATGGGTCTTGACTTACAACTCCTATTTTTGATCTCCACCACTTTAAATTCAAATCTCTTAAATTATATGAATCATTAATTATAATTTCTCCATCAGATGGATCATATAACCTTTCTAATAATTTTAAAATGGTAGATTTACCACAACCTGATTCTCCTACGAATGCATATGTCTTTCCTTCTTCTAAGGTAAAACTCAGGTCTTTATATATTTCTACATCTTTTCTAGTATCATAATGAAATTTCACATTTTTAAATTCTATTTTTTTAATATCTTGTAATTTTTCCCCCTCTGAATTGTTTATTATTAATGGCTTACGATTAATAACTTCAAAAAGGCTACTAGTTGCTTCTACAGATTTCATATACTCTGTTATATTTGGTAATATAATAGTAAGCATAAATATACTAATTAATACACCTAATAAAATAGATATAATTGAACCACCATGAAAATTATCCCCTCCTTGTAAATTTTTAATATCATTTATTAATATTCTCGTTCCATACCAAAAACCTAATGCATAGGATGATAAAACAAATCCATTTATTGCTCCAATGTGTAAAGATTCTAAAAAGTTTGCTTTTAATGTGAATTTACTATATAATTTTTCTGACAAATTAAATTTTTTTAAAATTAAATTTTCACCACAATAACTAACAACAGTTTTTATTCCAACTAATGCTTCTTCCATTATAGACATAGTATTGTTATTATATAATAATGATGTTTTTTTATTTAGTTTTATCTTTTTACTACATACAGCAGCAAAAACATATATTACAGGAAAAACACACGTTACGCATAATGTTAATCTAACATTTTTAAATAATGACCATAAATATAAACCTAAAAACGAGCTAGCATATGTAAAAATTGTAATAAATTTTGTTCCAATTCCAGCATGTACTTGTGCTAAATAAAACTCTAAATCAGACGTTAATTTTGCTCCTGGATTATTATCATGAAATTGTCCATCTTGATAAAATACACTCTTCAAATATTTTATTTTTAATGTCTTTATTATTTTGGTTGTCACTATGTCCATACAAAAACAGGAAATAAAAGAAAAAATAAATTGAAATACTCCTACTAATACCAAAGATAATAATATATCATTTATATTTTCCCCAAAATTAATATTTTTTATTATAACTCCAAATACGGAAACAAAAAACGGTAATGTTCCTCCTGATATTACTGCACATATAAAAGCTAGTGCCAATAATTTCTTATGAAGAGGAGGTAAAATTTGAAATGGCAAAAAAAATGATATTCTCTTATTTTTTATATTCTTGTACAATTCTAACGTATTTTTTTTATTTAGTTCTTTTTCTACTTCATCTTTAATACTTAAAACATCCTTTTTATTACCTCGTCTACTTTTCATTTTTGGTGATAATAATAGGCAATAACAAATGCATACAATATAAATATATATATGTACATAAAATATAGATAAAAAAAAAAAACAAAAATTACAAAATGCTAAAAACTTATTATAAAAAAGAGAAATAATTATAAATAATTAAATATATTAAATATTCATAAATATTTTTATATTTTTTCGGTAGCTAAAATATTAAAGATTTTATATTTTATTACAAATCTAAAATTTGTAAACAATAAAACGCTTTTCTTCAAAATTTTCACAAAAATATTGTTTTATTTATTTATTTAATTTTTTTTTTTTTTTTTTTGTATTCAATTCTTTTTTTTATTTAATCATTTAATATAAATATAGTTAATTAGAATCATTAAAATGAAAAAACATAAATTAAAAACTGCCACTTTTTATGTATACATATCAAAAGCACACATTAATTTGTATCTTAAAAATTTTTTTCATAATAATCATATCAAATTTATATGAAATAATAGCAAAAACTGTTATTGTTATAACTTTTATCAATGATAAATTATGCCATTAATAAACAACTTTATTAAAAAATAATAAATATGTTTTAAACAGGTACAGATAATTCGGAAAAAAAAAATGAAAATTATATAAAATTTAGAAAAAAATACATAGTGAAATGGAAAAAAAATTAAATATACTAATATTCTAAAGAAAATTATATTTTAAAACTTTTACTCAAACGTGTAAGGACTAAAGTACAGCAATTTTTTTTTTTTTTTTTTTTTTTTTTTATTATAGATTCTATTAAAAAATCTCTATATTAATAATATATATAATCATGTTAAAAAATATATTTCATTTATATAATAACCATACATTTATTTTTAATTTAAATTTTATAAAAAAATTTTTATCTATAGAATTTAAAAAACTTTAATTAATATAAATCTAAAAATGATATATTTTTAAATTCTATGTTTTCAATAAATTCATAATATATATCCTTTTTAAAATTTAAAAAAAAAAAAAAAAAAAGGAAAGCTAAAAAGCTAAAAAACGAAAATTAAAATAAAATAAATATGTATACATAAATATATATTTTCATATATATATATATCAAATTAAAAAGAAAATAGTAAAAATTTATATAATTTTTTAAAGCATATCTAATATAAAAAATAATTCTCTTTTAGTATAATGTATGTTAACGGAGACGGACAGATGAATTTAAAATATATTTATATATATATATATTATATATATATATATATATATATATATTTATGTTCTTTTTTAGAAAACTTAAATAAAATATTAAATAGATTTTTTATAGCAAAATATCCATATTAATTTCTTTTATCTACTTTCTTTTTTTAATAGTTTATTAAAAAAAGATAGAACTTAATTTTTTTTTTAATATGTAATTAATATAATGTAGTTACTAGTTTTAATAAAGGCACTATTTCAATAAATGCATGCACTTGTAGTAGATTTAAATTATAAAAATTTACCATTGAAAATTTTTCTTATTTTCTAACTTCTATAATAATTTTAATTTTACTTTTTTTTTTCTTTTTTTTTTTTTTTTTTTTTTTCTTTTGAGTAATAAAAAAAACTTTTGTGAAATTGTGATTTTCTTGTAAAAATAAATTTTATTTTAAGAACAAGTTGGATTCTATAAGAACAAAAAAAAAAAGTAGAAATATTAACAGTTTTTTAGAAAATCTTTTGTCCATAAGAAAAATTTTATATATTTAAAAAATTTTATAAAATTATTACTTACTTCGAAAATATTATATTTGTGTTTTTTTCTTTTTCATTTTGTATATATACTTATTTAATAAGTTACTTATAAACGTTTTGATAATATGTAGCATATCTTAATAATAACCTAAATAAATTTTTTTATTAAAATTAGTTAGGATTATTAATTATAATATTAATTGTTCTTCACTACTTTATTTTTTTTAAAAAAATTAAAAAGTATTTTTTTTTTTTTTTTCAAAGTTGGAAATAATAATTTAAAAGAAATAACAATAATCAAATTATAAGTTTTAATTAATCAAGTTTTCCTAATCTTCTAAATATATAAATATATATATCCGTGAAATATAAGTATATAAAGTATATATATATAAAATTTTTTTATATTGCTAAGTTTCTTTGAGGCAATAAACATATTAAAAATAAAGGAAATCAAAATATAAAAAAAAATAAAAATGAGATAAAATAAAAATAAAAATGAAGTAAAATAGAATAATAAAAAGTAACACATTCGAAATTAAACATCATAATGAAGTAGTAATCTATGATAATGTATCATAGAAAACATATAAAAAGAAAAAAAAAAAAAAACTATTCATGTAAATATAAGTATATAATATAAAGGAATTTATACAATTTTAATGACTTATAACAAAATAAATCTGATTAATTTAAAAGTAAAAATAAAAATTAGGTAAAAATATATTCATGCGGCTTTAACACAATAAAATTTGTAAAGACATATAATCATGTTTTAAAGAAAAATAAAATTTCATTAAATATATATATATATATAAGTATATATATTAATGTATATAAAATTTTATATTTAAAAGCAATTAAATTCCTTTTAAATTAATAATTTAAAAAAAAAAAAAAAATAATAAAATAAAAAAAAAAAAATACAATTAAAAAATACGATAAAAAAAAAAAAAAAGGTGAAAATTTCAATATATATTTAAAGTCTTTTTATTAAATATATATATGATATAAAGACATATGTATGCTATCTATAGTATTTTATAAGGAATGACACTAATCTTGGTAACATTGCACATAAAAATTGATATCTGAAAAAATAAATTGTACTTGTGGTTTTAAAAATTCTATTATCATTTCGCATAATGATTTTTTTATAAGTTGACCACATTTTAAACAGGAAGATTCAATAAATGTCATATCTGTAGGTGTTACTTTTTTTATATACTGATAGCAGGATGTGCATATTTTAAGTTCTTGGTCAGTTAAATATTTTTCAATTTTTATGTTTTTTTTAAATGTATCACTTTCCACGTGACTTTCTACTTTATTTTTTGTTAAAAAAACGTTTTCCTTTTGATCATTATTATAAGTTAAAAGTGGATTCTGCAATTTCATTCTTTCAATAGGTGATGTTTTCAAAGGATTAATTAGGGAAGTTAATGATTTATATGTATTATTATTATTATTATTATCATAAGTATTATGATTATTAGATTTATGTATATCTTCTTTTAATGTATTCATATTATTTATCTTATTGAATTCCATACGATTCATATAAACGATTTCCTTTTCTTCAATCATATTTTTTTCATTGTTATGATTTCTTTTTTTATATTCTTTTTCATTTTTATATGAATAATCAGATTTTTTCAAATTAAAATCTATTTCTTCATTATTTTTTTTTAAATCTTTTGTTAACACTTTTCCATTCTTTACTTTATCATTTTTTAAATTTATAGAGTAGTATTTATATTTCTTATTTGACATATTGTCATAGGATAATTTTCCATCATTATTCATATTTATGCTATATGATGAATTCTTTTTGTATAATGTATTACTATATTTTTCTTCATTACTTTTGTAGAATATTTCATCGCAAAAAATATTATTTATAATATTTTTCTTATAATTATTATTATTAATATTATCTATATTATTCTTATTATCCATATTGTTATTATTAATATAGTTATTATCTATTTTACCATTATGATTATAATTGTTATTGTTATTATTATCTAAATTACTATTGTTATTATCACCTTTATTATTATTATCAAAAGTATTATTGTCCATAAAATTTTTTTTAACTCTGTAATTTTTAAATGTCTTTGTTATGTTATTCATATTAATTGAAGAATAATCATGTGAGTAATTAATGTTACTTTTGTTAGAATTATCATTATTATTACTTTGTTTTATATTTTTATAATAAAAATTATTATTACTTACACATCTATTAATATTTCCATCCGAACTATTATAACAATTATAATTATAACTATTAATATGACTAAAATTATTATTCATACTGTTGTTATAATTTATATTGTTATAATTCATATTACTATTATTGTTTTTATTGATATTATAATTTTTACCTTCATTATTCATATTATTATTATCATCATTATTATCATAATTATTTATATAATCATTATTATTATCATTATTATTATTATTATCATTATTATTATTATTATTGTTATTATTATTATTATCATCAATATTATTAATATTATTATTATCATTTATATTATCATTATTATTATTATTGTTGTTATTATCATTATTAATGTTAATTATATTATTATCATTATTATTATCATCATTATTTATATTATCATTATTATTATCATTATTTATATTATCATTATTATTATTATCATTATTTATATTATCATTATTATTATTATCAAAATTATTAACATTATTATTATCATTATTTATATTATCATTATTATTATTATCAAAATTATTAACATTATTATTATCATTATTTATATTATCATTATTATTATTATTATCAAAATTATTAATATTATTATTATTATTATTATTATCAAAATTATTAATATTATCATTACTATTATTATTATTATTATTATCATTACTATTATCATTATGTATATTATCATTATTATCATTATTATTATCATTATTTATATTATCATTATTATTATTATTATCAAAATTATTAATATTATTATTATTATTATTATTATCAAAATTATTAATATTATCATTACTATTATTATTATTATTATTATCATTACTATTATCATTATGTATATTATCATTATTATCATTATTATTATTATTATTGTTATTGTTATTATTATCATCAACATTATTATTATCATCATTATTATTATCATAATTATTTATATTATCATTACTATTATCATTATGTATATTATCATTATTATTATTATCATCAACATTATTATTATCAATATTATTAGTATTATTATTATCATTTTTTATATTATCATTATTATTATTATTATTATTAATATTATTATTGTTATTATTATTATTATTATTAGTAGTAGTAGTACTACTACTACTATTATTATTAAAAGTTTTTTTATTTTTATATTTATTCTTGTTATATGCGTTGTTAAAATTATTTTTTTTTTGATGATTACGTATGTTCTTTTCTTTGCAATAGTAACTGTTATCACAATCATGTTGATTACTACTATCATTTAAATCGTTATTATAATTAGATTTATTATTTTCATTTAATTTATCAAAATGAAATGACTTTCTATGTATTTTTTCATTATTAATATTTTCGTAGTCAATATCAACATTTTTATTGAATTTTTTATTTTCTATTTTTTCATGAGAGTCCTTTAGAATATCATTAATATTTTTTAAATATGAATTCGAATTTATATTACTTTTTGTTGACTTGTTTTTATCAAATTTTTTATGAACGGAAATATCACTAGAACTGTTGAATATACTATCATTCAATTTATTTTTATCCTCATGTATTTTATCATCATTACGCATTTCAATGCTATTTTTTATATTTTTAGAATTTCTATTTTCATTCAAATTTATATTTTTATTTTTAGATGATTTTGAAATTTTTGAATTTATGTCATGTTCAAATTTCGAATCATTATAATTATCTTTTTCTTCAACAATTTTTTTATTGCTTTCAGATTCACTAATAAGACTTTTTTCATATTTTATCTTTTCACATTGCTCCATATGTTGAAATTCATTTTCATTGCTACTTATTATTAAATTATCTTTTTCAATTGGTACACTTGATTCACTCACTTCCTTAATTTTTGTATCATTGCAATAACTTTCTTCTTTAGATTTATATGAAAATTCTGAGTTTTTTTCTCTTTCTTTAAAATAACTCTTTGAACTTTCAGAACTTTTGAATTTTGATCTTCCACTACTTTGAGCAAAATTTGAGTCCTCATTTGTTTTTACGCTTTGATTTTCACCATCTTCAGATGATACAACATTTTTAGATAATCCACTTGATAAAAAGTAATATGTATCTTTAGTACTAATTGACATAAGTTTACAAGAATTATTATAAAAATTCTCTTTTTTTTCATCTTTTTTTATATCATACATTGTCAATATGCTTTCTTCTTCTCTTATGCTACTTTCTTTACTTTCATTTATGGAACAACTCTCAGATGTCTTGAAAAGATTCAGAGAATCTTTATTATTATCACTTTTTGAATTTTCTATATCATTATTATTTGCATTATAATTACTTATCTTACCGTTTTCTAAAAATACATTGGCGGGTCTAGATTTTAATTCTTTGTATCCATGAGCATGTCTGCAATTTTTATCTGCCTTGCAATATCCATTAAGAAAAAATTTGCATAATGTTGTTTTGTAAAACTCATCAGTAGACCTTAGTTCCTCAACATGATGAGCAAAATTGCATTCTTTTTTAGATTTAAAACATAAATTTTTTATAAAATTTCTGCACATAGCTGTTTTATATAAATTAGGAATAGGTTTTAACTCACTTTTGTCATGAGCGTAAGGGCACATATTATTAGAAAATCTTTTACATTTTTCTTTGGTATTCATATATGGACACATTTTTGTTTTACAAAATTGAACATTTAAAGCACTCTTAAAATCATAGTTAGGTTCTTTTTTTGTAACAAATTTAGTTATATCTGTTTTATCTTTTAATTTCATTTGATTACTTGAATATGTTTTGGTAGATGAATTTGTGTAATCCTTTTCTGCAACATCTTGATTAGTTGTAGATCTAAACGACTTATTATTTTCCTTTTTCTCATAAGTTATGTTTCTATTTAAAGGTTTACTTTTCAGAATATAATTATTTCCATTATCTAAATTTTTATTCATTTCGTAGTTTTTGTTGTTTTTTACATTTTTATTTATATCATTTCTCCTAAACGACTCTAATGTGTTAGTATTTTTAAAGAAATCCATATTGTTTTTATCTCTATAATTAACCCTGTTTTTATTATCCATTGCACTTAAAGATTTTTCGTAACAATACCTATGTTTATGCTTATTTTCTAAAATATAATAATTTGTTTTTTCATTAGCAGATGCAAAATTTCTATTAATATTTTGATCACAATTTTCAAGACATTCTAATGTATTCATATTTGAATTTGCGTCATTCTTGCTAGGTATTTCACTATTTTCTTCTTTATATTCTTCTGATATGTTTTTTCTATAATTAAGATCATTTGATCCTTTATTACTTATACTTTCGTATGTATAATGTTTTTCTAAACTTTTTTCTCTTTCCATATAATTAATTTCTTTTTCTCCATAAAAAGGATTATTGGATACGCCTTTTGAGTTGGAAAATTTTTTTGAAGAAAATTTTTTTTTGTTTTTTTGATTATTTGCCAAATAATCTTTCTCTTTTTTAAAATTGTCAACAATTTTATTTTCATTACAATTACTAATTTTATTTATATTTTTTTCCTCATTTTTTGTATTGTTTAAACTTTCATCTTTTATATTCTCATAATTGGAAAAATTTCCGTATTTTTTTCTATATGTATTAATTTCAACTTCTTTAATATTATCATACAAATTGTGTGATTTTAAATTTTCATCTATTAATTCGTTAGTGCATACTACATCATTTATATCTCTATTATCATAAGAAACACACTCCATTTTTATTTTTTTTTTTTTATTCTAAAAAAAAATAAAATAAAAATATAATTGAAATCTAAATTATAACTTTTTTTTAATAATGTCCCTTGATAATATTATATTAATACACAAGATAGAAATATGCAATAAATATATGAATATGTTCAATGAATAATTTTTATTTATAAAAATATTTTAATAATAATTTATTTATTGAATCATTTTTTATGAAGAATTTTATATTTAATTTTGGAAAAGAAAAAATAAATTGTAAAAATGATGTAACATATAAAGTGTTTTTTTATTTTTATCTGTATTTATGAATTAAAAAATGTATGCAATTTACGCATTTTTCTTTATCTATTTATGTGTGCTTTTGTTTTATAATCAGACAAGTAATGCAAATATATTTAAAAGTAATCACTCATTAATAAAACAAAATATATAATATTATTAAATGTATTTTCATGAAAATACTTCATTCATATTTGATGAATAAATCAGTCCTTTTTTTTTTTTTTTCTTTTTCATAAAGCAAAAAAAAAAAAACATAAAAATTAAACTACTTTTAAATTCAGATGTGTATATTCACAAAATATATATATTTTTACAAAAAAAATATTTTTTTTTAATTCTTTAGTCTTCTAATTTCTATACAACCAACAATATGAAATTTGACAAACATATACATATAATAATGAAAAGAAAAATACTCAAAACATGTGTAAACTTTTTCATCATACATATTATGTTGAAATTCA